GCAGGGTTTTTTCATACCATGCTTGAGCCATTCATTATCATATTGGCAAAATGAATTACATTGCTCGCGCTTAGTTCTGCTTACACAATGAATAAGCCAAGTATGAACTGAAACATTTTTTAAGTAGATAGACGCTGTTAGTTAATTTTTTCTATATGCTTATGCTTTGCCTTTTCTGCCTAAACATAATTGTGCAAAAGGTATTGAATTCCTTAATTGATTGGTAGATTTCCATCACTTTTTGCTAAAAGGGAAGAAGCTGCTTAACGATGTATTATCTTTCCTTGTTCACCAGGTTCTACATCCGAAGAACCCTTTTGCTCCAACTTTGCATTTTAATTATCGGTATTTTGAGACTGATGCTCCAAAAGGTATTTTCTATGTTTGAGAATTTTGATAATCTCTGAGCACAATTTTTAATTCTTTGATGATGTTTTTTGTATGGGCTTAGCCTTCTAGAGTATTTGTGAATTGAGCGGCAGTGTATAATGCTGCAAGTGAAAATGTGTGTGCTTTTGAAACGTCTCTTATTACGTACAGTTATTGAAAGCTCAATAACAAGAAGCTAAAAACTATAGCACCCAAGAGAATAGATGCATCATAGGATGTTTTACTTCCTCATGGAATAGTCATGTTTATAAAGGTCGGACCAAGTTATCTTGGTTTGAAGTTAATTTGGGCTGCAAGACTCAAGGCTGGACTCTTGGACTTATTGGCCTCATGACAGATGCCCTAAATTTCCAAAAGTAACTGACTCCCAATATTAAATACTCTGACCCAGTGGGAAAAGAAAAGAAATGAAGAGAAAGAAAATAGACTAGTTTGGACACACCAATAAAAAGTTAAAAACAACGTGAAGATAATGAGCTACTGATAATCTACTTCGTAGCTTATGCAAACTAGATTTGTAATGCTGATTTTTGTGGTCTTCTTCGGGGACTGTAGATATCAACTTTCAAGGAGTAAAATGGATTGGTTAGAGGTTAATGGTGGTGGAGGTTCTTCGAGCAGTTATCTTGTTTTTTCTTTTCAGTCAAGTAGTCTAACAGAAAGCTCTGATTCTATTCTTCGCGCTGGTTGATAGAATGTGGTGCTAGTGGTTACAGAGATAAAATCCATTTTAAAGAACTAGAGATAATTAAGTTTGTAGATGGTTTTTAATCACTTGCTTATCTTCTTGTGAACTCAGATCTCATTTTTTCCATTATATCTTTATTGTTTCTTTTGTTGTCAGTCCCTGTAACATAAGTTGACAATTTATTAACACATTCCTAGGAACTGACATATTCTGTAAAAATCATTGTCAATTTTCAAGCTTCCAGTACTTTTCTAGGAAGTAAACATGAGCAGCATTTGGTCTGTTGTGCTGCATGACAGTTAAAATTAGGATGCATAGCGTAGTGTTAACCTACATGGATCCAAAGCTCTCCTAAAACACAAATCAACTAAGCGTGCTGGATATAATTAGTTCATTTTATAATGGAAGGACGTTATGAGTTATAAAAGATTCCACATTCTGATTTAGCAAATCGTATTGATAAGCTTCAATCTCTAAAATCACACAAGGGTTTTGTATGTAGCCATGTGTACATGCGCGCACACACTATCGTATATCAATTCATCATGCTTGTTTATATGCTTTAGGTAGACCACAAATATTTGAAGTATACTAAAATGTTGCTCATTTTGAAATCATGTGCAGATACTCCGGGAGCACCTAGACAATGGTGGTTTGGTGGCGGTACAGATTTGACTCCTGCTTACATTTTTGAGGAGGACATCAAGCATTTCCATTCGGTATAAACATCCATGCTTCGTGTCAATGTAATAATATCGCACTACGGAGTGTTAGGATCTAAGATTGAATTTCCTGTGGAAAATTATGAAACTTTCCTCTTGTAGTTGAAAGTTGTTAATGTTTCTTGCGCACATGGTTAAAACACACAGCAATGTGGTAAATCACTGAAGCAGATGTTTCTTGATGTTTTAAAAGACTGATACTTGGTTTGCCTCTATCAAATGGGCTTTTCCTCATATGATGTTTTTAGTTGAATGAGAGGAAAGGAGTCATCCTGCTGATAGGAGAGCTAGAATAACTTGCTTACTATTATTTTTGTCCACATATACTATAATTATGTAGTCTTATTCACTTTCATTTTAGGCCCAAAAAAGCACTTGTGACAAGTTTGATGCTAGCTTCTATCCTCGATTCAAGAAATGGTGCGATGATTATTTCTACATTAAGGTATGCCTTTCATAGATTTGTGTTTGTCTTATCGTATTTAACATGATGCTGTACATCTGTTTATTTATGTTGTGAACGTCAACTTGGGGAAAACTTCAGTATTTTAACGTGTGTACTGTGTATTACGTGGAACAAATTATTGATCGACTTCTGTGAAGCCAAAAGACTATTCAGGCATACGAATTTAAAATTTGTTGACCGGTGAAAATAATGGGGCAAAATCATTTTGGTCACAACTTAATTTATGCAATCTGTTTGCACCCCTTTCTCAAGTTTCTTTTGTCTTCCTACGTTCTGTTCTGGTGGCTCTTTAATGATGAACCTCTCTTTATATCTATACTTCTGTATCCAGTCAACTTTTGGAAACTATCCAATCTCTGATTTTGAACCAAGAGCAATAAAACCTACCAATCTGAACTACAATAAAACGAAAAATTCTGATGCATCATCGAAGGTGGCAAAAATATTGTCTTGCATAGTACATAGAGGCCTTACTAGACTGCAAGTAAGATCCTATCTAAGAGAAATATCACAAACAATAGCCATTATTCGATGTAAACTAAAGGATATCCTAAAACCCTAATAGTTATCCGTTTGAACCATTTATTCTCAATTGGTCTCTCTATCACGTCCTGTCACATCTCTTTATCTAGTGCTTGAGGATTCCATTGGAACAAGCAACTGACCCAATTATTGAAATTGTAATTAAAGCATATTTGGGGCAAACTGTTTCCTCGTACCCTGATAAACATCTCTATGCATCTGAATCATTGAGCCGAAACACCAAAAAAGTCCATCTGTCTTGAAACTAGGTATGCCCCTTGAGATACTCATCCTGATTCAATCTTCTGTCTTTTCGTCCGTGCATTTACAACCAAATATAGTTGTTGATGTACAAGGTTTGGTGGCATCATGAGTTGGATGGGATCACTTGACTCTTGATGTATTGGTTATGAAGTTATTGGATCTTGACTCTTGGAGAAATTTGTTATGAAGTTATTATGTTGCTGTTTTGGAAATTTTGAACATGTAATTAGCTATTCCAGCGACGTGTGTTTAGCAATCGTTATTTCGGGATCACTTATGTCTTTATTCTTTGCCAACTCTTTGTCACTATGTTAAGTGTGTTTAGCAAATTTTATTTTATTTATTTATTTTTTGGCCTTTAGATCAGTTTCTTTGTTATAGCTAAAATAAAAATAATTTATTTTGTTTGATGGACATTAATTATGAAAAATGGGAAAGATGAGACAAGAAAAAACAGTTTTGCATTTTTTTAACAATTTGCTAGTTAATTATTGTTGAAGATATGGAAAGAATAA